GTGCAGCAGCTGCAGCACCCGGCAGCCCCTCGGAGCTGCTGGAGGCATTTTCTGTGAGTCTGGGCCGAGGGGAGCATCGCTTCTCATCCCACCGTCCCTCCTGCCCCGGCCGCTGCGGGAGCAGGGCGCTTGCTTCCAGGTCGAAGGGACTTGCTAGTGAAAATCAGCTTTTTTTTAATTTAAATATAAGATCCCCGGCTGCTTTTGCAGGGTGGTGCGCATTTGTCTTCCTTCATACGTAGACACCGTTGCAGGAAAGTGTTGGCATCAGCTCGTTCTTTGGCTCATCGAGAGAGGAGGGGGGAGAGGATTCAAATCCTTCATTTTGGGGTCAAAATGTCAGTGCCTCTCATTTGAAGTGCTGCTGCCAGCCCCACAGAGGAACAGCCATGCAGCCTTCAGCCTCTGCTGAGAGAAGCGCTTCGGGGAGAGGTTTTGCCCACGGTTCCCGATGGAAGAGCTGGATCCGAATTATCGACTGGGAGGAGCCCGTGGTGCTGGGTGCACCCCGATAGCCCGCGCGGGCACACGCGAATGCAAAACACAAGGCAGCGTTCGTGTCAGCTTTATTTCAGTTGATGAAAACAAGGAAAGACGCACATGAAAAAGCCAGCGAAACCTCTGCTGGGCCTTGGCTCAGTTGCAGCAGCGACGGGCACGGCGTGTCCCATCACAAAACAGCCCTGAATGTCAGGGAGAGGAGACGGGAACGGGCCCAGCGCTCTCTTCTTCCACTGGGTTTCTCAGATGAACGCGCAGCCTGAACTCCCGAGTCTAGCGGAGCTGATCCCGGAGCGATCCCAAGGGCAAGCTTCCGTCCCTGCGGCTGCTGTCGCGCTGCTCCACCTCTGCAGGAGCCTCTGGTTTCTGCCCTGAGCGCCGAGGAAAGCGGCAGCAGCTGTTTCAGGCAGCGATCGCAGGCAGCAGTGCTGCAGGCGGGTTGTTTCTGGCCACGGGGCGATCCTTCGTTGCTTGTCTCTGCCCATCCCCCCCACACCCCCTCCCCAGTTGTCTCTTGCCAGTTCTTATCATTTCCCCAAAATCCCTCTTGCTTTGGTGATCTCACGGCTGCGCTACCGGCTCCTTCTTGGTGGGCTGGCACGAGGTTTTCCAGCAAGAGACTGGGGGAAAGCACAGCTTCAGCCACCGCGGCATGGCCTGGGATCACCCCCTTCCACTCGCCTCCATGTGCACAGGGTGGGGGCGCAGGGAGGTATTGGGGTCCCGCGAGCCGGGGTACGCTCGTACCAAGCCACTGCAGGGGATAATTTCCCTCCTGATCTTTAAAGCGACCAGGCTGTTTCCACCAGGAAAAAGGGGGAGGGAGGAAAGCGCCTGGGGGGGCCCCAAAGTCCTACCTGTGTCCACAACCTCGGCTGCAGGCAGGTGGAAGATTGTCCAGCCTGGGGGAGAAGCGACACGGGGCTCCCGTCAGCAGCAGCAGCAAAACCAAACCTTGCCGCAGCCCCCGGGGCACCGGGGCTGGCTGCGTCCTCCCCTCTCCGGTCCCATCTCCTGCTTGTCAGGTCTGCAGGGACGGGACGGTCGCCCGCCGGGGAAGCAGCTCACCTTTGGATTTGCAGTAGATCACGAAGATAACCGCTGCTAAAAGCACTATGGCTACGGTCACCGATGCAGCCACGATTCCAGCCTGTCTGCTGAAGTAGGAGCCTTGAAAGAGAAGGAGGTCTGGCAACAACATCCCAAAACATATCTGCCCCTTCCCAGCATCAGAGGCAGTGGGAAATGGGCACATGTCTGCTCCAACACCCCACTGAGCCCCTCCCTGCTTCACAGGGGCCTTCATTTCAGGATAACACAGTCCAACATGGGAAAGAGGCGACACGCTGCACGAGGACGAGTGGCTTGGCAGACAGAGCAGCGGCTGGGAGACTCCAACATCCCAAAACATATCTGCCCCTTCCCAGCATCAGAGGCAGTGGGAAATGGGCACATGTCTGCTCCAACACCCCACTGAGCCCCTCCCTGCTTCACAGGGGCCTTCATTTCAGGATAACACAGTCCAACATGGGAAAGAGGCGACACGCTGCACGAGGACGAGTGGCTTGGCAGACAGAGCAGCGGCTGGGAGACTCCCCCACTCACCGACATCCCTTTGCCCTCCGGGGACCTCACGGGTGGCTTTTGGGGTAGGGGAGTGAGGGGAGAGAATAGGGAGAGAGGGTCGATGCTGGTGTCGGGGCTCTGCGTTTCTCTTTGCACGCCAAGGCAGAGCTCGGGGGAAAGCTGGCGCCACGGGGTGCAGGATACGGCCCGTCCCCGCCACCCACCCGTGCATCTTTCCACGGCTGTTACCTGCGCAGAGGGCAGCGGGCGAGACGACGGTGGCGTTGCGGCTGCTGACGGGGTTTTGTGCTGTGCACGTGAGCGGCAGCTCGTCCGTGGGCAACTCCTCCGCCAGCAGCGTGGGCCCCTCACTCCTCGGCAAGCCCCCCACACTCCAGCTGTAGAAGACGGTGCCGTAGCCGGAGCCCAATGCAGCGCAGTGCAGGGTGTAGCGGCAGTCGCCAACCGAGCAGTTCTGTGCCACACAGGTCACCGTCGGCACCGCCAGCTCCCCTGGGGGAAGTGGGGGGCTGTCAGGAAATCGCCCCCCATTTAGCACAAAGCACAACAAAATCCCACCGACGCTAAACGGCACTTACTGTACACGTGTAGGGTGAAGGCGGTTTTTGTTTTTCCCCCTGAGGTCCTCGCGGTGTAGGTACCGGCATCGTCCATCCTCAGCTGGGAGATGGTGAGCGCGCCGCCATCCTCAGGGAAGGCCAAGCGCGACTTGTAGTTGTTGTCAAAAAACGTGACTTCAGGAGGATTGCCGAATTTCACCGTCGCTATGACGTCGTTGCGAAAGCTCCAGGCTGCAGCTTCTCCATCCGGGCTCTGGAGGTGGAAGGTGACGGACCTGCCCACGGCCCCGCTCACCTCTGTCCCGTTGTCGGCGCACACTGGGGGAGAGGAGCCGGGCTGAAGGCAACGTGCTCAGGAGAGGATGCACAGTGAGCTTGGGGGCTGGCTGGCAGAGGAGGCCGGAGGGCTCGGGGAAGGCCTTTGGCTGAAAAGAAGAGCCTTGGCCAAAGAGAAGAGCCTCAACCCGCTGCAGTCACAGCGTGATGCCGCAGACAGGCTGATCTACAGGGGCCAGAGCCCCCTGTGCTATGGCACACTCTTCAGCTGCAGGTGAAGGCATAGAATCACGGAATGGTTTGGGTGGGAAGGGACCTTGAAGGCCATCCAGTCCAACCGCCCTGCCGTGGGCAGGGACACCTTCCACTAGACCAGGTGGCTCACAGCCCCATCCAACCCAACCTCGAATGTCCCCAGGGATGGGGGATCTCCCACCTCTCTGGGGAGGGCCAGGGTCTTGCCAACCTCAGCCTAAATAATTTCTTCCTTACATCCAATTCAAATCTAAGCTCTTTTAGTTTAAAACCATCACTCCTTGTCCTATCGCAACAGGCCCTGCTAAAAAGATTGCCCCCACCTTGCCTGTACCCCCTTTAAGCACTGGGAGGCCACAGTAAGGTCTCCCCGGAGACTTCTCCTCTCCCGACAACCCATCTCTCAGCTCCTCCTCACAGCAGAGCTGTTCCACCCCTCCGATCATCTCCGTGGCCTCCTCTGGACCCACTGCAGCAGGTCCACTTCTGTCTTGCCCCGAGGACCCCAGAGCTGCACGCGGTGCTCCAGGGGGGTCTCACCAGAGGGGTAGAATCCCCTCCCTCGACCCGCAGCCCACACTTCTCTTGATGCAGCCCAGGAGCTCGCAGGTTTTCTGGGCTGTGAGCGCACATTGCCGCCTCCCCCAAAACCTCTGGGGCATCCCTGGGGATGGGGGTGCACACCGGATCACCGACGCTGGAGGCGGAGAGCACCGAGGAACCGCTCCATCACGGGGTGATTGCAGGACTTAGGGGATTCCTTTTTATTTGAAATAAACTAATTGCCTCTGAAGCTCTGGGCTGAGGTCCCTCAGGAGGCCACGTGCTTTCACACCCCGCAAGGGCTCGTGAAGCGAGCAGCACCAGGTTCCCCCACAGCGACAGGACACCTACGCTGCTTCCTACGTGTGAAGGGGGTGCAAGGGACAGAGCCTTGAGGTGCAAAATGAAAGAGCAAGGACGAGTTTGCAACGGCTCAGAAAGGTCAGGCAGGTTCCCTTTCATCACCAGACCGAAAGGACAAGCTCATCTACACAAGCAGGCAGGAAAACAGGTTGCCTCTGCCCCAAATGTGCAGCTGCTTCTCCCTTCTTCTGAGGAGGAAGAAGATATTTCCCTCTTATTTTGTCTGCTTTCCATTTTTAAAACCAGTGCTGCCTTGTCTGGGCTGGGGACGGAGGTTTCCTCCCCCATTCCTGGAAAGGGAACTGATCCTGGCTCAGCTGGGCAGCCAGACCCCCGAGGCTGCCACCTCTCCCCGAGGTTCTGCATTTCTGGTCCCCCATGCCTGACCCCACAGGGACACCTCCAGGACATTGAGAACAGGCATCTGCAGCCACAGAGAAGGAAAGCTGGCTCTGGGAGATAGAAGGGAATTCTGCTAAAACAACAGATATGGGGGGCTCATGCAGCAGCAAAACCCTCCTCGAGCCTGCGGGGAAGGGCCAAGAGCAGACCAAGCATCTCTGCCCATTTCCCCTTGCCTGAAAAGAGGTAGAAAGTGTCTCCTGTTCCAAACAGCCCTAAAGACCCCACGACAAAACTGCAGGAGCATGGAAAACTTGGAGACAACACACTGAGGCACAGACCCTGAACGCAGAACAGCAAACTCAACGGCCCGTGCACATATGTCAGCAGATACCGGGCCGGAGCTGAGATCTGGTGCTCTCAGTCGTTAGCAAAGGGGGACCACAGGAGAGCGAGAGGCCAGCACCAGGTCATGCTGAGCCTCTCTCACCCTGCTTTTCCCAACATCCTTGGGAGAAAATTCATCCCCACAGAGCTGCATCTGGCACCGCTCGTCCCACACATGCCAGCCCTGTCCCTGCTCTCCCAGGAGTCCCTAAAACCACCCCGAGCCCGCCATGGGCTCCTTCCCTTCCACCACCGAGGGAAAATGAGCACCTTGTACTTACTTGCTTGGTGGAGGAGGAGGAGGGCAAGCAGCAGGCACCAAAGCTTGTCCATTGACCCGTGGCGCACGGAGAGGGGCTCTCCGCACCCAGCACGTACTGCATATCGTGGTGGCAAAAGGAAATCGAAACAACCTATACCCATGCAGCTTTACTTCTCGTGGTTAGATGGGTGGAGAGAACTGTGCTTCATCCATGGCATTACCATCACAGTGACATCAAGTGGCTGGGACCAGGAGCAAAATCCCACACGTCTAATGAACACTTGAACTGAAAAAACTCCACTTCCAAGCAAAGATGAGTGTGGCAGCTGGGACAAAGACCATCAAACGCGGCTGTGTGTGACAAGTGTCCCAGCTCCCCTACAGGAACCAGCCCTAAGAGAAGGGTATCGTGGAGACCTTTGCGGGTCAGCACCCAGGAGCACGCTGGTGACCGTGGACCAACATCACCAGAACACCCTTCATAAGGGATGCTGAGATCCAAACTCTCCATCCCCCCCAAAACTCCATCTCCCCTAGACGGGACAGCTGAACAACAACCACAGGGAAAGCAGCCGCTTCCCTAATTGAGTTTATTCTGGGAAGTAGCATGATGCCGGCGTCATACTGAAATTCAGGTGGTGGAGGCGTGCTGAACAAGCTGGGGATGTCGGGCTTTAAAATAGCCTTGGTTCCTCTGCCCCAGCGAGTGAGCGGGGGCTGCGGCCGCCCCTCCGTGGGTGCCAGAGGCTGGGTGCTGGGATACGTTAGCACAGGGACTGGCATCGGGGCTCAACACCAAATCACTACCGCGGCTGAACGCCTAAAACCAGCTCCTCTTTTGCAACACCCTGGCACGGCGGTAAGATGAGAGGCGCAGAGAGACACCCTGGGGGATGAGCCACCCTGTGACCCCCCTTTGCCTCCCCCAACCATCACTTGGGAACCAGGCGGGGGGCCTGCAGCACCGTGGCTCAATGCTCCTCAGCAAATTTTAGCATTTTTACTTGATTTTTTCCCCCATATTGGAACTAGATAATCTCGAAGGTTGGAACTAGGTGATCTTTAAGGTCTGTTTCAGCCCATACCATTCCATGATGTTGAGCAGCTGATGTCCCCTCGCAGGCTGCGATGTTTGGATGCACACTGGGGTGGCCAGGGACCAACACGGGTAGCACTGGGCTCCATCTTGCATCAGGTGCCCAGCAGAGAATTTGGGGCTTTTACACCATTTTAGAGGCACAAGGACAAGCATGACCTTGCCCTTCCCTGAACTTTCCTGGGGGAAGCGGTTGCTTTGTGGGCAGACTTTTCCAAGGAAGCAGCTCAGCTGATTTTTTGTCGTAACGAAAGGAGGAAGTTAGGGTGATGTAAAAACACTGATTTCTCTTCCCCACCAAAGCCTGATCCAACCCCTGACACACTCCTCCAGCAGATTTTTCCGAAAGGCTTTACTGTAAATTTATTTTCCTTTCGCTTAGGAGCAGCACACAAGATCAGCCCGGCTGTACGAGCTGAGTTATGTCGGGTTTATAAAATAGCTCGGACTTGGGGGGTTGGAAAGATTTTACAGCCCTGGTCCCTCATCCAGTCTACCCCCAGCATCCCCATACTGGGTAATTCTCCAGGAGTTACTGTGAGCAGAGGGTGGCCAAGCCACGGGCAGGGGCTGCCTCCCCCTCTCAGCCAGAAATTCAGCTTTAAATAATCCACCTGGAAGGTTCTTGTCTGTTCCCGGAGCCATCAGTGGAAAAGGATGGGGATGGAAAAGTGCAGTGGGACGCGGCTGCTTCCCCAGGCACGAGCACGGGCTGCCGGTGGCCCCGGTGCAGGGGGTCGGGCTGGGGCTGGGCCCAGCCCCAAGGGGATTGCAAAAATTTCTTCATGGCTTGGGCCAAAGCCCAGGCGTTTCGAAACGGGTTGCAGACCAGAGGTTGAAAAAAAAAAAAAC